TAGCTAGAATCTTGGGCAGCGTATTAACAAATTATAAAATAAAAAAAGAATTTATTACATAAAAACCAATTATTTACGAAACTACTATTAGCTATTTTGTTTTATTTTTCTTTTTTTTTTTCTATAAATATATATTTATTTAGTTTATAACGTTGTATTTAAATTATTATTATTATTTTAGGTATGTAACGAAAACAAACAATGAATGCAAATAAATAATCAAAATTTCAATACTCTATGTTTAATTAAAAAAAAAATCAAAAATACAAAAAAAATTAAGTACATTTGCAAAAGAATGTTTATTAAAATAAGAACAGATACCAACCAATCAACCCGAAATACAAAAGCAAAATATTGCGTTAATTTTCTTATATTACAACAAAAAAAAAAAACCCACAAATTATATATACATAGAAAATATATTATAAATCTTTTTATATGATTGTGAATGAACTTAAAAACAAAGAATATGTAATAAAACAAACAAAAAAAAAAAAAACTGATATATACACAAAAAACACTCAGAGTTTTATTTATGCAATAAGTTTAATATATTTCATATTTCTAAATCGTTGTCGTAAATATTCAAATGTTGGGCTTGTTGCAGCGGTAAGTTTATCGATTCTTCTTAACAAGTACATGGATAAAAGGCTAAAACTATTAAATCCAGGATGAATTTCGTAAAATTGGTCTGATGATACACGAACCAAAACAACAGGAAATTCAAATGATGTGTAAAGACGTGTTTTCTTATTTTGAAGCTGGGGTAGATTCAGCGGGGGCTAGGGTCGCCACAAATAATTTAGCTTTATGGACCATTGAGAAATGAAAGTAGAAGGATATTCTGTTATAAAACGATATAATACTTTTTATATACCCTGAGCCATATGGCTCAGGCGGCCAAAACGTACCTCATCAAAATAAAGGTTTTAAAACCAAGGTCTCTTTGGACCAAATCCGTTTCCGGACATTTGGAGGCTATCTAGGGATGTACGTCTGTTTCTCTGTCTGGATGGTGCGCACGTTAACTCTCGGAGGGAGTATCTGATTTGATCCAAACTTGGCACATCGCAATATTATTGTCAAACGTTGATCGAGTTTGGAGACGGGCAATATCGGTCCACTCATTCTGGTACCTTTCGCACCAAATGTAAAAATTTTCAAAGAAAATATTTTATTGCGATCCTAATATTTGCATCAGTACTAGGTCAGGTGCGAAAATGGACAATATCGTTAAACTCCATCAAATACGTCCCCCACAATGGGTCAAAAATTGTGAATAATTATAACTCTTATAAAATGTGAAATAAGAGACCGACTCTTCAAATTTCACATATCTCAATACTTTTATTAACCCAAGGTCTGGTGTTAAAATAGAACATATCGGTCCACTCCTTCCGGTATGTCCCCCGCAAAGGGCCTAAATTTTGAATATTCGAGAAACTCTTAACACGCTAAATGAACATCCGTTTCCTTTCAGACTTGGTACATCTCAATATTTCTGTAAATACAGGATCTGTTATAATGATGGTGGAGATCGGACCATTCCTTCTGGTAGCTCCCCCACAAAGGTTCAAAGTTTTAAATAAACAAAACGTTTATAAAATCCGAAATAAGCACCAAGTTCTTTTTATATGTCACACAACCCATTTATTCTACTAACTCAAGATATGCTGTGAAGATGGGATATATCGGTCCACTTCTTCTGGCTCCCCAACATAGGGTCAACATTTTGAGTTTCCATGAAGCTCTTAAAACGCGAAATTAACTTCCGATTCCATTCAGACTTGGTATATCCAATATTTCCATCAACACAAGATCTGTTATAAAGATGGTAGAGATCGGACCATTCCTTCTGGTAGCTCCCACACAAAGCGGCAACATTTTGAATAAACAAATACGATCATAAAATCCGAAATAAGCACCCGGTTCTCTTCAAATTACACACATCACAATATTTTTATTAGACCAAGGTCTGCTGTGAAGTTGGGATATATCGGGTAACTCCTTCTGGTACCTTCCCCGCATAGGGTCAAAATTTTGAGTTTCCTGAAGCTCATAAAACGCGAAATTAACATTTGATTCCATTCAGACTTGGCACAGCTCAATATTTCTATCAACACAAGATATGTTATAAAGATGGTAGAGATTGCAACATTTCTTCTGGTGCGGTATTTCCACCATCTAGGGTTCAAGATTTTTGAAAAGCAAAACTCTCTACGAAAGCGTCTAATATTCTTCAAATTTCACACATCCAAATATTTTTGCTAACGCAAGATCTATTGTAAAGATGATATATACCTGCGAACCTCTTTGGTACCTCACACTCAAAAAGTCAAAATTTTCAATACTTATATCGGTGATTCTTTACCACTTGATATCTGTAAATATTTCTCTCAACCAGTCTCTGAGATGAATGTGAAATTTATGATTTAGCATAAAATTGGATATAAATGTTCGAATCAAATTGTTCGTTTCAATTTTGCACACAACAATTTTTTATCTGTACAGAGTAAGATAAAAAAACTGCGCCATAATTTTTACATTCTTTTTAAATTTCATTAAATTTAGAATAAGTTTAGATTTGTTCAAATTGGTCACCTTTGGCACGAATTATGGCCTTCAAACGGCCAATGAAACCGTCACATGTTGCCCGAATGTGGCTCTGTGGTATTTTGGCCTATTCCCGTCGAAGCGCTTGCTTGTGGTGATCGACACTTTGGTATTTTTAGTGCCAACCTTGCTTTCCAAAATACTCCAGACACAATAGTCCAACGGATTGGTATCCGGAGATTTGGATGCACAATGGCTGGAAATGAAGCGAGGAACCTCATTTTGTAAACATTCTTGGGTGGCGCGTGCTGTGTCCTGTTGGATTGTCCAAGGTCTGCGGCCAAAATGTTTGCGTGCCCAAGGCTTTTAATACACCCTCCAGAATATTTTCGCGATAGTATTTGGCATTTATTCTGATGCCACGGACGATTAATACGAGCGGAGAGCGACCATCGGCTGTTATGTTGGCCCACACCATAACCATGGCCGGCGCTTGAGTTCTGGTGGCCAACTGAAGGTGCACATTTTCAGCTGGCCTCTTTGGCAAGCAAACACCATAATTTTGTTTGTTTACAAACTGCTGGACAACGAATGTTTTCTCATCGGAGACGGAGAAAACCAAGTTCAGCAGTTCACCACTTTCGGCCAAGCGAAGCAACTCTTTAGCTCTTTTGAGTCTCTTTTTCGTTTCTGTTGGGGTGTAAGTTCTTGCACTTTTTGGAATTTCAATGGCTTAACTCCGAGCTCATTTTTCAATATTTGCCGAATGGAATATTGCGATATGTTCAGCTCACGAGTCATTTTTTCGGCCACTGCGACGTGGGTTTCGATCAAGCCGCTTCTTTACTTTTCGAACTATTTCTGCTGATGTTGCTGTTTTCTCCCATCCACTTCCTTGACGTCAGGCTACACTACCAGTATCACGACGCGGGTTTCGATCAGTCGCTTCTTTACTTTTCGAACCATTTCTGCTGATGTTGCTGATTTCTCCCGTCCAATTCCTCGACGTCAGGCTACACTACCAGTATCACGACGCGGGTTTCGATCAATCGCTTCTTTACTTTTCGAACCATTTCTGCTGATGTTGCTGTTTTCTCCCGTCCAATTCCTTGACGTCAGGCTACACTACCAGTATCACGACGCGAGTTTCGATCAATCGCTTCTTTACATTTCGAACCATTTCTGCTGATGTTGCTGTTTTCTCCCGTCCACTTCCTTGACGTCAGGCTACACTACCAGTATCACGACGCGGGTTTCGATCAATCGCTTCTTTACTTTTCGAACCATTTCTGCTGATGTTGCTGATTTCTCCCGTCCAATTCCTTGACGTCAGGCTACACTACCAGTATCACGACGCGGGTTTCGATCAAGTCCCTTCTTTACTTTTCGAACCATTTCTGCTGATGTTGCTGTTTTCTCCCGTCCACTTCCTTGACGTCAGGCTACGCTACCAGTATCACGGTAACGAGCGATGGTACGAGACACAAGCGATTTATTCACATTTAAATGCTGGAGTGCTGTAAAGATAGCCACTTGTGGTTTTCCAGCCAAATATATAGAAATCACACTATCACGCTTGAATTTCATCACGAATAATTTTTTTCTGGAAAATTCTCACCAAAATGCTTTTGTACGCTTGTAAACAATATAATGAGCTGTCACTGGAATAATTTTAACAGCTGTCGGACGAGTGACTTAGAAATGACAACAATCTGAAGTTGATTGCAGTTTTTCATCTCACCCTGTATTTTGTTAGAAATAGAGAGAGGTGCCCTATTTTTTTGTTCGTGACTGTAAAATACAAAAAGCCAGTTTAGAAATATGTCTGCAATAGTTTACAAAGTTCTAACCATAGAGCACATGTCTTATTGAATACTCTTGGAATAGTATCCTTGTCTATAATTGTATCGCTCTTGCAGTGACGTCCTTTCCTATCTATGTAGCTCCATACTTGACTACTTATCAAAGGCTCTTTCAATATAGCGTCCTTATATGTTCATATGTAGCCTAGCTTAAGGACTAATTAATGTATCTTGGAGTACAATGTTTGCCTAGCCTTGTAGGTAAGGGTTTGAGTACTTATTAAGGTGTTATCTAGGTGGTATGCTACTGCCTACTTATGAGTCCTTGCTTGAGTATTTATTAAGGACTCTTGCTTTGATAACCTTCCCTATTCTTATAAATCCTTGCTTGAGCAGTAGTATCTCCGCAAATCTTTGCTAAATACCTGCCTGTCAAAAATTTCCCTTATTTTGTGTTCATTTTGCCAGAGAGGAAAGTGAGTTTTTAGGAGAGAGGGACAGGGAGAGACATTTACCAGCCATCCGCTTTTCCATAAAATTAACATTATTTTCGTGTGTTTTCCCTGGAACCAGTATGTTCCGAAGAACCTAAGGCAATTTCATATTCTTGTTATTAATTAAAAATCTCATCATTTTATTACGGTCGTTTTTTTTTTTTTTTTTTTTTGTTATTTATTTACAATCACATGAGGTACATTCGTAGTGCATTTGACGACGTGGAAAAAAGGACGTAGCTATTACATATAAATTAATTTAATTGCAGAACATATACATAAAATAAATAATTTATAAATTAAAACTTAAACATGTCCTAGATACAAGAAACTTTACTATTGCATTTAATCCTTGTTGTTGATGGCGCGCAATTGTTCCAATTCTTCGCGTTCCTTCTTGTTGCGCAACAATGGCACATTGTAGTCGAAAGCATAGTAGAATCCTTTGGGTTCGCCATGTTCTTCGGGACCGGGTACGTATTCGGGTTCTTGATGCACATATTCCTGATCGGAAGATTGTGGTTCATAGCGGCCTTCACCGGTTTGATATTCGGCAGCATAAGGATCGGGGTTGTGACCAGCAGCGGCAGCATATTCACCCCACAAACGGAAATGTTCCTCTTCGGCTTTCTTGACGGCTGGGGTTTTGGTGGGGGGATTCTTCAAATGAGCGGGGCGATTATCTTCGACATGGAAGCCAGTACGATCGGCATAGTAGTTGGCAATGAAGTCACGGCCATGAGGTTGAACATATTTGTAGGTACCGGTTACGGTGCCACTGGCATCTTTCTTTTCGTTTTTACCCTGATTCCAATCCTTGTAGCCGTAGACGTATTGACCCAAACCATCCTGGCCATGATACTGATGGGCATCGTAATGTTCTTCGACATAATCGTTGGGATTTTCAATTACGCGACCCATATAAACGAATTCACCCTTTTCGTTGCGTGCTTCGGGCAAAGGATTTTCACCGGTCTTGGGAGCATATTCAATGTTGTTCAGGCCACGTGAGCTGACCTGAGCAATATATTGTTGAGCCTCTTCGGGAGAAATGTTAATTTTGAAAATATTCTCTGCCAAGAGGGCGGCTGGAAGGACCTGGAAGGAAAAAAGAGAAAATGGTTTGTTATTATTAAATATATAATGTTTTACAATTATTTTTCTTTATTTTATTTTACAAATAGGTCTGTAAAAGGACTACTCTGGCCGGAAGCTCTCCAGATGAATCAAAATGAAAGCAAGATATTTTCATAAAGCTAAGTAAACATCTTCAGCTACAGCATCTTGAGCACATACATTCGTTCGTCCATAGATTATCAGTTTAGAGGTCTTGCCGACTGGGGACGGGAAGGGTAGTAAGTAAAAAACAGTTAGTTCGGCCGAGGCGATCTTGGAATACCCTCCATTTCGAAAAAAATTGGAAATTTTCGAAATAATAAAATTCGTTTAAAATTCTGTTAAACTCTTAAAAATACCGAATATAGCCGATATATTGGGATCTATACGAAGACGTGGGCCAAAGGCTATTACAATATTCAAATACGAAACTTGAAAAAAACCCGGGTAATTATAGCTAAAATCATCAAAACACCGAATATAGGGAGGTACCGTTATATCGGGACTATACGAAGACCTGGACCTGCATAGGCAATTTTCTGTCACAGGCTGTAGTACCTATTAGGAACTACAAATACGAAATTTCAAACAGTTTCGGTGAATATTGTACCTACAATTCTTTAAATACCGAATATAGCGAGGTAGTGATGTATGGGGCCTATACGAAGACCTGCACCTGCTACGAACATTTTTTGCCATAATTAGTAAAACCCATTAAGATCTTCCAATACGAAATTTAAAACGATTCCGGTGAATAATGTTGTTGAAATAATCAAAATACCGATTATCGGGAGATACCGTTATATGGGGGCTATACGGAAACGTGTATGTAAAATTTTAGACTTAGAGCACTCCGGCATTTAAATGTGAATAAATCTGTTGTGTCTCGTATCATCGCTCGTTACCGTGATACTGGTAGCGTAGCCCGACGTCAAGGAAGTGGACCGAAGAAAACAGCAACATCAGCAGAAATGGTTTGAAAAGTAAAGAAGCGACTTGATCGAAACCCGCCTCGCACTGGCCGAAAAATGGCTCGTGAGCTGAACATTTTGCAATATTCCATTCGGAAAATTGAAGATTGAAAAATGAGCTCGGGGTAAAGCCATTGAATTTCCAAAAAGTGCAAGAACTTACACCGCAAAAGAAAGAAAATAGACTCAAAAGAGCTAAAGAGTTGCTTCGCTTGGCCGAAAGTGGTGAACTGCCGAATTTGGGTTTCTCCTATGAGAAAACATTCGTTGCCAAAGAGGTCAGCTGAAAATGTGCACCTTCGGTTGGCCACCAGAACTCAAGCGCCGGACATGGTGATGGTGTGGGTCGCCAACGAGGTCAGCTGAAAATTTGCCCCTTCGGTTGGCGTTCTGGTGGCCATGGTGATGGTGTGGGTTGCCATACTAGCCGATGGTCGCTCTCCGCTCGTATTAATCGACAGTGGCATCAGAATAAATGCCGAATATTATCGCGAAAATATTCTGGAGGTTGTATTAAAGCCTTGAGAACGCAAACATTTTGGCCGCAGACCTTGGACATTCCAATAGGACTCAGGTTTCTGGCTTTATTTCCAGCCCACAATGGCCAATAAAATCTCCGGATACCAATCCGTTGGACTATTGTGTCTGGAGTATTTTGAAAGCAAAATTGGCACTAAAAAATACCAAAGTGTCGATCACCGGGAATGGACCAAAATACCGCAGAACAACATTCGGGCAGCGTGTGAAAGTTTCATTGGCCGTTTGAAGGTCATAATTTGTGCCAAAGGTGACCAATTCGAAAATTTGATGTTATTTCCGACATTTTTTGTTTTCATTCAATAAAATTAAAAAATTGTTGACGTGTTTTTATCTCACCCTGTAAATACTTTCTAGATTATATTATGAATATTTTAAGGAGTTACAAACGGAATGGCAAAGCTAATATACCTTCCATAGAATGGTGGAGGGTATAAGAAGGTCGGTAAGATCCCGAAACCATTAGGTCATAAATGGACAGCAGTCAATAAATGCCGAGTGGAGATCCGCGGGCAAGGAATTTCGACCTTCAATTATCTCAAAAGCGTTAAAGACACAGTCGACGATATGTTTATAGTTTTGGTATCCACCTTTGCTTGCAAATTCAACAAGTTCCGCTCTGACAGTCAGGGAATGAAATAAAATAAAAATAAAAAAAGGTCGGTAAGATCCCGAATCCATTAGGTCCTAAATCGACAGCAGTCAATAAATGCTGTAAATGCCGAGTGGAGATCCGCGGGCATGGAATTTCCACCTTCAATTACCTCAAAAGCGTTAAAGACACAGTATATTGCCGTTTTGGTATCCACCTTTACTTACAAATTCGACAAGTTCCGCTCTGACAGTCCGGGAAATAAATAAAATTTAAGTGAGCCATTAAACACCCACACTGAATTTTTGAGGAAAACTTAATTTTGATATTGATTGGTATTTAAAGATAAAATCATTTCAAAAAGGTGACAATATTTACACATTTTAAAATAATGAGCCATATCAACAATCCGGTTTTAAAGTTAGTTTTCTTACAAAAACAACTGTTTATATATTTTTTACAATTAAAAAAAAAAAAAAAAAAAAAAAAAAAACAACCACAGACTGACTGCAAAATAATAATTGAACAATAAACATTTATATTTATGATTATTTCCGCTTTTATTTATTTAATTAACACTTTTGGAATTCCCGGAATTGCGCATATTTTGCTAAAACTTGTTTCAAATTTTTTTTTGCTTTTATTGTTAAACAAAAACAAAACCAACAAGTTACTTTCTACTCATCCTCATGCTGATAGATAGGGAAGACTAAATGAAAATATTGAAATATTTTATTGGTTAACTGAATAAAATTCTGAATGAATTATTTTCCATTTGAGAAGGGTTGAGATCATCTCTCTTTGTGCGATCGAAAACGATTGATGTTAATAATATTGAAATTTTTTTCATTTATAAATTCATAATTTCTTTCTTTTTCGAAAAAAGGTGTTTATTCTATCAATCGGTTATGCTTGTTGGTTAAAAAGCCGATTAATATATGATTTGAAACTCATTTGTTGTTTCTTCAACGAAGTTACTAGAATTTAACGGGTTTTTTTGTTGAATAAAAACCACAAGATCAAGAAGAAGATATCGCGAAAAGGTTATCAAATTCCGAAAAATTAGCATTTTTTGCAATTCAATGGCACATTTAATCAAGCCGGATCTATGAGATCTCATTTGACGATGTTCTTTAAACTTGAATATTAATATTACCATGTTTTGTGCTATAATTTAAACAAATGTGATGTTGCATTTTTTGTTCACATGCGATATATAAATTAGGATTTAGACTGCGGATTATCTCAATATTTTGCTCTGTAGTCCAGAAATAATAGGATTTAGTGAAGTCCAGGACAATGAAATGGAGTTGTAAACTTCACGAATCAACCACTTCGATTGAACAATTAATTTAAAAGAACATTAGGTAAGCCAATCTAGTTTTTTTCTATGATTCAGAATCTTCCCAAGATGTTGTGCTCTTGATCTACTAGAAGGTCTGGTTTGACACATCGTTTCATCAGGTGGCTATGGAAAATAAAATACTTCAATTGGACGATTCATTGGAATAACATATGAACTAAGTACTTATAAAATTGTTAGTAGGAGCGCTAACTAGTACTTCGATATCCTTCACCTAAAGTTGAATATATGGAAATTTTGCGCTACGGTCCTAAGTGGTCCTCCGGGTGTAGTCTTCCCTAATTTAAGAAGGTTTAAACTGTCTTTGAATCAATGCTCGGAGTAGACTCATGTCTCGGATACGAGACTTAGGAAATCTTAAGAATGAAGGGTAGTCTCTCTCAAGATGTTATGCTTTTGATCAACTTGCAGGTGATAAGATCTAAGATCGCCCATGCCTTCCTCGCCTGGTTTGAGATGTCGTCTCATCAGGTATAAAGGCTAAGTTTGTGGGAAAGATAAATAGTTTCCTTTCTAGACAGATGTCAATTCATAGATAATATCATCGCTGAGGGTATGATAACGTCTTTGTTTCAGATACAGTGGAATCTTAAAGGTGAGAAGTGGTTTCTTGCAAGATGTTAGGCCCTGGATCTACCTGCAGATGATCAGAAATTTCGCCGCCTATTCCTTCCCCCTCTGGTTTGACATTTCGTCTCATAGATGGAAAGGCTTGGGTGTAGGGAAGAAAAATACTTTATTCGTGCCTGGACCTCCGTCGCAGTGGCTGAAAAATGGCTCGTGAGCTGAACATATCGCAATATTCCATTCGGAAAATATTGAAAAATGAGCTCGGGGTAAAGACACTGAAATTCCAAAAAAGTGCGAGAACTTACACCGCAACGGAGAGAAAATAGACTCAAAGAGCTAAAGAGTTGCTTCGCTTGGCCGAAAGTGGTGAACTGCCGAATTTGGTTTTCTCCGATGAGAAAATATTCGTTGTCCAGCAGTTTGTAAACAAACAAAATGATCGTGTTTACTTGCCAAAGAGGTCAGCTGAAAATGTGCACCTTCGGTTGGCCATCAGAACTCAAGCGCCAGCCGCCGATGGTCGCTCTCCGCTCGTGTTTATAGTGGCAAACCGTGGCATCAGAATAAATCCCGAATATTATCGCGAAAATATTCTGGAGAGTGTATTGGGAACGCATACATTTTGACCGCAGACCTTGGACATTCCCACAGGACTCAGAACTAAAATGAGGTTCCTCGATTCATTTCCAGCGCACAATGGCCACCAAAAACTCCGGATACCAATTCGTTGGACTATTATGCCTGGAGTATTTTGGAAAGCAAGGTTGGCACTAAAAATACCAAAGTGTCGATCACATCAAGCAAGCGCTTCGCCGGGAATGGGCCAAAATACCGCATAGCAGCATTTGGGCAGCGTGTGACGGTTTCATTGGACGTTTGAAGGCCATTATTCGTGCCAAAGGTGACCAAACCAACAGAATATTCATTTATTCTACAATTTGATGCTATTTCCGAAATTCTTTGCTTGGGTTTATGCCATTTATCCTATGTTAGTATTAAGATTTGAATTAATAAAATGGCCCAAGGCTAAACTGTATTACGAATCACGTTCAGCATTTAATTTTCCAAATATAAAAAGATTTTTAACCCTCCAAAAGTTACTAAAATTTAATGAGGAAAGAAGCAATTTTGAACCCTAGAGTTTTCGATTTGGAAATAACCTTTTATGAGGTTCATCAACAACACTTTCAGGGTGCTATTAATCGAATCACAAAATTAATATAGCCTCCAACGAAGGGTTAATAAAGTTATGCATCGTGGGACTTTGTCAGATTCTAATTCTTAACGCCATCTCCTTGGGTCTTTAATAGCTCAGCTCGACAGAGATATTATCAAATATCCTCTCGAAAATGATATTCGCCCTAATAGGGCAAAAATGTCAAATATAAATATTGTTAGCATGAGCCTGGAAATTTAATCCACGTTCTCGAAACGTGTTGTCGGAGTCTTTGCGTTTTAATCCACAACACACTTGTAACACTTCCGAATTGGAAGACCGATCCAATTCATTTAGAAAAAGAAACTTCCCTTGTTTAGGTTGAGAATTTAAAATAGGATTTTGCAGTCAGACTTTAGACCGGCTTGGAATGAAAAAAAAAAAAATGTTCTACATTAATTCACTTATCTAATAAGGTATGAAAAAGTAGAAATTTCAAAAATTTATCTTCGTATAGCCACTTAAATAGTATCTAAAATGCCTGAGGAGCTGCTTAACCAATGGCGATGAGCGTTACATTCTGGTTGGATTCTTGGGACTTCGTTAGATTTAGATTTTTTTAATTTTCAATGTCATATCCATAGGTCGTTAAGAGCTCAACTCGAAAGAGATATTATCAAACATAACTGTTTGTTTTACGATAACCACATTTTCGCTTGACATCAATTCAGGAGGAACTTTGCCGGTTAAAAACGTGTATTTTTTCTGAAAATAGGCTTAGCAAATCCTTTTACGAAGAATGTCTTTTTTTCACAAAAATTCGTTTATTTTGAACTAAAAAAAATCCAATTTAAACTCAAGCAACTTTCAAGAAAAATTCTTTTCACTTAAAAAGAATTTGGAATCAAATAATTGTTGTTGCATATCCACACATTCATAGTTTGAGGTTGTGTCGAACACATGCATTCAAGTTTATTTTTTAAAATTATTTAATTCTTTATGTCAGCACTTCAAAATATTTGAATTTTTAACACATTTTCGTTTTTCAAATTCGTCTGTATCTCTTTTTTTCTCATAATTTTTGAACTGTCTTTTCCGATATCTTTCGATTAGATTCACATTTGAAATACAATTTTTTTTGTAATTGTCTTAGAACAAGAGGAAAATAAGTTTAAATACTAACCACCAACAACACACTGAACAAAATACACTTCATATTTGATGTTCGAGTAATTAAAACGAAAGACTTAATACACGAACTTGTTGCTACAATGCAATTAACTTGTTTTTTTTTGTTTTTGACTACTTCTCAACACCGATTTGAATCTCTTCACTGGCGAAATGCTAATGATTTAGAAATACTAAAAATCTTTCTATTTATATAGACGATTGCTTTAAATCGAAGCTGAATAAATGTAAATGCAAAAAGAAAACAAAAAAACGTTTTGAAAAAAACAACAAAACAATAAATTAAGCACATGGCTGAATACGTTTTAAAAAAATAACAGCCAATGATGATACTCTCCAACAGCATCCATCTCATAATCATTAGCGTCATCTCATTTGGTTCTGTGAAGATGAGATTTGTTCTCGTAGCCGGTTTATTACTCACCATCTTTAAGTCGAAGAAAAAAATAAGAAAACAAAGCTGTATGTTCTTTTTTATCGCCAAGTCAATCAATATTTTTTTTTTTTTGCCAAGAACAAAATTTGTTGTTTTCTATTTCTATGGAACGAAAAAAAGACGCACGCGTTTGCTGTGAACCCGGTTTTCTAATGCGATGCCCTGTTGTCTTGTCATTTCTCGTCCGCTGCCAGTCAAATCAAAACTTTTGTGTTGTGTTTTGTTCTGTGGTCATGTTGTAGCTTCCTCAAATTAACCGAACAAATGGGGAAGACGTATTCAAATTTGTAATTATTTTGTGTAATCGTTCATTAGCACCCTCATCATTATTGGCATTGTTTGTTTCTAATATTAAGTGGTTATTACACAAAGACATACATGCATGCAAATATCAATTGTTAAATAATATTTCTAAACTAATAGGGTTATGAGAAATGGAATTTTATCTTTTCGCTTAGAACAAAAGTTGAGGATGTGGAAGTCTTAAGTTTTCATACCCTACACCACTATGTTTTGGTGGTATAATAAGTTTGATTGGGATAAAAATTATGTAACACCTCGAAATATTTGGAGATGATCGCAGAATATTTGGGGGTTGAAATGGACCAAAAACATAAAAATATCCTGATTTTGCTGTTATAAACCAATCGAAGCGGAATTTCGCATGTAGTTAGAGTTTAAGGTCGGGCCGAAGCCTATCAACTTGTACGGTCATCGGACAATATATAGAGGGTAAATTAAAGCATAACTTTTAAGTAAGAAAATACGAAAAATTCCACTAAACCGCAAGTATTTCTAATACCTGCCAAATCACATATTCATTTAAAAGTCACTTCGGACCATTAAAGTGATGCTGATAGCCAACATGTCGGATATATAGCAAAAAAAGGTACAATATATATATATATATATATATATATATATATATATATATATATATATATATATATATATATATATATATATATATATATATATCTATATCTATAAAAGAGGAAAATGTTTGTACGTTTGTTTGTTTGTTTGTTTGTTTGTTTGTTTGTAATTTATGGACTCGAAAACTGCTGAATAGATTTTTCTGAAAATTTCCATATATACTGCAACATCGCCTGAAAGTAACATAGGCTATATACATTTTTGAATTTCCACTTGGAACTGGAGATATAGCATCAGAATCGGAGGTACCTCCCAAAAATTTAGATTTTATATGCACATATCTATTGATCGGTTAAAGATACGGTATACAAATTTGGAATGTGTAACGGAATTTGGAACAAAAATAAGTTTGCTAAATTATATTGTAATCGGTTCAGATTTGGATATAGCTCCCATATATATTTTCGACCGATTTCGTTCATTTGATGCCTCAAACACAATATGAATGTTCGATTCCAATGAAATTTGGAATATGTGACGGGATTTGATCCGAAAATAAATTTGTCAAATTATATTGAAATCGGTTCAGATTTGGATATAGCTCCCATATATATTTTCGGCCGATTTCAAGCATTTGATGCACCAAACACGAAACACAAATTGGGGATACATACCCAATTTCTATGAAATTTGAAACGTGTGATAGATTTTATCTAAAAAAATTTATTTCCCAAATTATATTGAAATCGGTTCAGATTTGGATATAGCTCCCATATATATTTTCGGCCGATTTCATGTATTTGGTGGACCAAATAAGATATGTATGTCCAAATTTAATGAAATTTAAAATAAGTAACGGAATCGGGAGCAAAAATGAATTTTTCAAATTATAGTAAAATCGGTTCAGATTTGGATATAGCTCTCATATATATTTTCGACCGATTTCATGTATTTTATGCACCATGCACGATATGTATGTTCGATTCCAAAGAAATTTGGAATATGTAACGGGATTTTGATTAGAAAATAAATTAGTCAAATTATATTAAAATCGGTTCAGATTTGGATATAGGTCCCATATATATCTTCCGCCGATTTCACATATTTGATGCACAAAACACGATACGTATTTCCGATTCCAATGAAATTCGGCATGAGTGGCTAAATTTGGTACAAAAATAAATTTGACAAATTATTTTCAAATACGCTCAGATTTAATTATAGCTCCCATATATATACTCAGCCGATTTCACATATTTGATGCACCCAAAGCGAGAAAGACGAAATCTGGCACCAGAAAAAATTGCCAAATTTTATTGAAATCAGTTGAGGTTTGGGTATAGCTAACATATGTGTGGTTACAATAATAAATGTGACAAATTAATTGGAAATTAGTTAAGATTTGGATATAGCTCCCATATATATATTCTCGGCCGATTTCACGTATTTGACGCACCAATTTCAATGAAATATGAAAGGTGTGGCGGAATTTGGTGTAAAAGTAATTTTTTTAAAATTATATTTAAATCGGATCAGATTGGGATATGATTTTAATAAGAACCATTGACCCACAACGCCTTAGGCTAACAGTAAAAAACAACACAACAATTTATTTGAAATATGATATTACGGCGAAGTATGTTGCTATCTCGAATTCATTAATTGCAACAGAAATGCCACTCAACTTCAAAAGATTGCAGTTTACTGCACGCTTGGTATTTGCTATGAAATAAATAAATCAGAAGGACAAACCCTTCGTGTATGTATGTCATGTTACTGTTTTTCTAATGGTTTTGTATATTTACGCATTAAAGTAGTGCAATAATTTTTTTTTTAATTATAAAATTTGTTTTTTTTTTAACCAACATATATTCGTAAATAAAATTTTGAATGCATATAAAATCAAAAGGGGTAGCGAAGCGCACCGGGTTCAGCTAGTATATATATAAAAGAATTATATCATATTTATTTTGCTTATAAGTCAAGAACCGCTGGACTAATTTTTATAATTCCCATCAATTCGGAATGGTCTATTGCAAGAAAAGGATAAAATCTTAGAAAAATCGCGTTTAAATATGACAATAAAAAAGTGAATATTTTTTATATACATTTTTTCAATATTGGGCAAATGTCACCCTATTAAAAAGTATTTTTGTTAATTTTGTATTTTTCTTTTCAATATTCTCAACTCAAGTCGTATCTAATGTCCGTTGTTGTATATGTGCTTTGATACATTTATTGAACAGTTTTGAGGAAATCCGTTTTAGGGTTTTTTCTATGTCTAAAATCTGAAAGGTTGGTGATTCAATATTTTTAAGCATAATTTTATTTTTTACTTCTTGCAAATATTTTTTTTCATAATATATTTTCAAGCAATTATAGGCCAAAAATTGTGTACTTTTTAAAGGACTTCCTGGTTAATAATTTTGATTTTTTTAATATTTGTCCAAAATCATTTATTTTTAAGTAATCGATGATTTTTTAAACCACTTTCTGGTTAAGAATTGTGGATTCTTATAGAACTTCCCAGTCAAATTTTTGGAGTTCTAAAAATATTTATCAAAATTGTTTGAAAAATTTTATGCTCAAGAATTCTGGATATTTGTAAAAACTCTGATTTTTTAGATGTTTTTCAAATATCCTTAAATATTTAAAAACATTTTTTTGGTGAATGTTAAAAACAAATCGTAAAATAATTTTCAACAAAACCTTCGCCAACAATTTCAATTTTTAAAAATAAGATCGAAGACTTTTGAGGATTTCACAACCTAAAATTAAGAATTTTTAAGAAAAGTTTTTCAAAACAAATCTGACTGGAATTTTTCAATTTTTAAGTTTTTTTTGAGGATATCCTGAATAAAAATCACTAATTTTTAAAGATATTTTTCAAAAACATAAACTCAAAACTCGATCAGTATTCTGGATTATTTAAGATTTTTTAAAGGACCTCCTGATCAAAATCAACCAACTAAAAATCTAAATATCGAATTTTTGCATTTAAGAATATTTTTTAAAGATTCATTAACCATTTTTTTGGATTTTCCAAGATCTTCCAAAATCTTTCAAAGACTCCTGACTAAAAATCAGAAGATCACATTTTTAGGATATATTTCCCAGGATCATAATATTTTCTAAAGACGCCTTTTCTAAAGACGCTGTAACACATTTTTTAGGTACCTCCCAACCAAAAAATTCTGATTTTCTGAATAAAAGTTTTTAAGATTACCTGGGCAATAGTTATGCTTTATTCTAAGGACTTGTAGGTGGAAATCATATCTTTTGTAGATTTTCTACGATTTTCAGAACAAAAACAAGTAAGCAAAGGCTACAGTCGAGCGGGGCCGACCGTTGAATACCCTACAACACTATAATAAACGATACAGTTTATATAGGCGAGATACTCGAAAGAATTCCACAAGATATTGTGACAAATAATAAAAGAAAACCATCAAGTTTCGTTCTCTAATTTTTGAATAATAGCAACTTAAACGAAATTGCTCATTTCCAATTTATTGGTAGATGTTGCACGTAAATGGTCTTCCTAGATCTGGAACCAATATTTCCCAAAGACCTATAATCTCTCAGAAGTGGCAAAAGATTAACATTTATTATTTGTTTTTGACTGAAACGCATCTATATGAGATACAGACATTTGACTATATTCTTCAACGAAATCAGCGTTGACGAAATAGTCAGAAGTGCGACTTTCCTGTATTTGTGAATTCTCCAAAAAGTCGCTGGAATGGACATTTTCGTATTTAGTCTACAAAAGTTGGCAAACTATTTCACACATTGAATATTTTTGGATGGCCATCCAAAACTGCTTGTCTTTTGCAA